TTTGATGTCAGTTTTTTCAGCAGTATGGCGCTCACTACCTGTTCACAAACTCTCGCTATTACAGCTAAACAGGGCACTAAAATATGTGTCTCAGGCATGAAATAGGCAGTGCAGTAACAGAGTCATGGTTTATATTTGATCAGCACTGCTTAGTTTTATCGCTTGATCAGAGTTTAGTCTGAGTTTGAGAGAGAGAGAGAGAGAGAGAGAGAGAGAGAGAGAGAGAGAGAGAGAGAAAAAGAAAGAGGGGCGGGTCTGTCTCTTGATCCACTTCTACACTCTGTGTCTGTGGGGGCATACATGGGTGAAGGGCAGTATGAAAACGCAAGGTACAGCCTGTAGTTTGAACAACAGTCCGAGAGCCAGCAAAACTCCAGCGGAGTTTCGCTGAGAGATGAGCAGGAAGATCTAGGCACTGGTTCATTTACACATACTTGTCACATTGTTGTGATACAAAGCTGGTTGAAAATTAGCAAACTACCCCTTTAAGTGTTGTCTAAAACTCTTGCAGCAAAGATCTGGGACAAGATTACAACTCTGACAAGATTTTCACTGCCAACTTTTGATACTTCACAGTTTTGATACTCGGGGCCCGGTAGTGAAAGGTTCAATATTCAGCCCATGTGTGCATGTTTTAAAGGATCAGTTCAGCAAAAGGACAAAAATACATTATTTTCTCTCTGACTCCTAATGCTGTTTAGCAATGCAGATGACTTTAATTTTACGCATTGATATTTTGAGTTCGAAACCTCTGAAATGTCTGCTTCCACATTTATTGGAACTATTTTCTAATGAAGACATAGTCCCAATGAAAAACTGTTGTTATTATTAAGGTCAGTGGATATCTTAAGGCACCAGAAGACTGCTTCTACTAAGAGATAGTGCTGTTTACTTTTTCTTGATGTAATTTATTAATCCTGTCAACACCGCAAACAAAATTCCATTTACCTCTATTTTTCTGGGAAGGTTTAAGGATGAATATCTTAACATCGCTAACATTTTAGAACTTTTAAAACTTAAAATCTCAGCACGTGAAACTGAAACCTTTGGCGTAGTGAGAAAACGTGTCTGTTAGGTTAACTTAGGTTATCTGACACTTAAATACAGTGGTTCCCAACCTGAAGTCACCAGATACCTCTGAGAGTTTTCTCTGATATTTGCTTTTTTCCCTTGTGAAACACTGAAAAATACTTATAGATCTCCAGGCCTAAAAAAAAAATCATTCAAATGAAAGAATGTGGTTACACCAACCCATAATGACCAGTCAGGACTGCGTTGAGACAAAAGGTTGGGAACCACCGCTTTAAAAGCTGTACACGCAGAAGAAGAAACTGTCCCTGGTGTTCTGTTCTGTATTTGTCAGCATGTTCTAAGATGCTTCTGCCTCAGCTGACATTCCAGCATCTTCTGATACAGAATCTGTGACTGGCTCACAATGTACGTGATGTGAAGAGGGAAAAACAAGTGTATACACTGCACGTGACCGAGACACATCAGGGATGTCATGTATGTACTGTAGTTAATAACATGACAGATGATGTGCCCAGTGGGCCCACTCAGTAATCCATCCATGCTTTTGTATCAACACTCACCCTCTCCTTCAATTTTGTCAGGGTTTCTGCTCCACACTATCTGCCGTGTGTCCTGCCTTATCTGGAAGGTTCTCCTCTCGGGCCTCTGGGACTTCTTCTGGTAGAAGATGGTCATCACCGTCCCCATCTCCAGGCTGTGGAGGATGCGGGGACCGGCCTCTGTCCAGTCCAGCATCCTGGAGGCCGTGACCGGACCAGCAGCCCCCGCGGCTCCACCAGCGGCCTCATCGGCACAGCCATTGAGGCAGCCACTGAACCTGGCTGCACACATCTTCACTGCATAGCTACGAGGGAACCTTGTAGGATTACTAATCTGTACTGGTGTCTGGTGAGGATGCTTGTCCTTTAATCCCTTACTGGGTGCACCAGTTGTCCAACATGTCCAAACCACTGGTGCCAAGAGGGAATCTTATGAACCTAAATTGTGCTGCTCGGAGCAGGCAGAGGTTTTAAGTGTCAGTGTGATTAAACCAACTTCACATTAGGGTTTTAGCTGAAAGACACTCAGAGCTGAAACACTGAAATGTCTGAGATGTGAATTACCCTCTGGTCCTCTGGAGGGGGAGTGTATCCCTGTGTTATCCTTTCCAGATGCTTCTGGCAGAACACCAGTGAAATCCTCTCGGAGTGAGCTCGCATCACCGCTGTACTCAGGTTTCCACCCTTTATGTGTCCTCCTGCTGGTCCTTCAGTCTACGACAGTAAAGGCAGCACAGTCCGGCTTTAAATCCAGCTCGGGGAGCCGCCGCCGCGTCGCCGCCTGCTGCTGCCGCTTGCTGCTCCTGCTGCTGGGGCGGCAAACACGATGTGTCTATCCCACTCCTGGCTTTTAGGAAAATTAATTCAGTGCGAGCGACAAAGACGCCGAGTTATGTAATGACGAGACGGACAAATAGTGAGTGCAGCTGGGCGGCGGAGAGGAGGACGGGCATCGGCGGACGCGATGTGGCGGCTTCACGGAGACGGAGAGACGCGCGGATGGGAGAGCACGGAGCGGCCGTGCTCCCATCCGCCGAACCATTCTGCTCTCCCCTCACACACTCCTCCTTCCCGGGCACATTACACCGAGGACATGGTGCATTATCCTACGCAGGAGTAACCGTACAGAGGCGTGCGGGGTTGTGGTGCGACGCGCTAATTGTCCCGGTTTCTCCTCGCTGTTCCTCGACTAGGATCTCTCCCTCTCTGCTCGGCTCTGCCAACGCCAGAGGTCTTGAGAGGAAATTAGGGCTAGCAGACCGGAAAAGCTTGATCAGATTTTTTTCCCTCTGTGCTGTAGTATATCTGAGGGAGGATGAGGGGAGGGGAGTGGAAGGAGAGTGGTAGCGGAGAGCCAGAGAAGGCGAGGAGGCAGAGAGCAGAGCGACCTCCGCGGGTCTCCAGGAGATCTGCAGCTACGCTGGAAGGAGAGGAAACGCCTACTGTGCGGCTGATGAGAGGGGTCAAGAGGTCAAGTGGGGTTCAAACGACAAAGGTCACAACATGTCAGACAGTAATCAGCTGCAGCAACAAATCATTTACACTTCAAACACACTTTAGTGTTTAAGTGTTGGCAGATTTTTCTACCATGATTTCCTTTTTGTGTTAGGTTAGACATAAATAGATAATTCTATTATTATTATTATTATTATTATTATTATTATTATACGTTTTAAAAAACACTAAACTCAACAGTGACATTTTTGTGAAACTGCTGTGTACAAAGTCACGAACAAACGTATTTTTTGATATATTTTTACATTAAAGATAATAAAACAATGTTAACTACTGAATAAAAACTGACAAAAACAATAGAAAGCTCAATGACTTGTCCTAAAAAATAAAAAGTGAAGCTGAAAAAGAAATATATTTTTAAAAATGACATATTTTTCAAATGTATCAATAATTCCAGAATACACTAATAAATAGCCTACATAAATCTGTTATCAAATTTGTGAATCTCTTACAAATGTAACAGATTAATCTTAAGGAAGACAGTTTTCAATTATTAACTTCACTGAGAAGGAAATGTCTCCATGAATATTGCCACATAATCATTTAAAAATAATTTAAGTCTTGACTGGTGAGATACAGTAGGTAACTAGCCATGTATAATCAAGGATTGTGCTTAAGTAGAAATTTTATGTTGTACTTTACTTGCATATTTGCATTTTAAAGGTCCAGAGTGTAGGATTTAAGGTGAACTATTGGCAGAATAGGTATAAAAATATTCATCATTCATTTTTATTAGTTTACAGTCACCTTGAAATAAGAATTATGTTTTTGTTGTCTCAGAATGAGCTGTTTATTTCTACATAGGGAGCAAGTCCTCTCCCACTGAGTCTGCCACGTTGTTTCTACCGTAGCCCAGAATGGACATCTCAGACACTGACTGTACATAAGGATATTTCTCATTTTTGCATCGGCCGCGGTAGTTCTCCCACACACTTAGCACATGAGTGAAGTTTCAGTTCTGCAACCTCACTGCTACATGCCATTAAATTCTCACTAAACCTGGAAACTACTTTATACTTCTACACCACTAACTGTAAGAGGGAAATATTGTGGTACCAAAACCGTTACTTAATTAGTTAATGGATGAAAAATTTAACTGATAATCATTTTTGTCATTATCCAGCAAAAAGTCCATTAAAAGATATTGTTAAAATAGAGTTGATCACTTTAGTATCATTGTGAATTTGATATGTTTTGTGCTTTGGGAAATTGTCATGGGCGTCCTTCGTTATGATTTTCAGACAGTTTAGTCTACACACTATCTGTTGTGATAGATGATAATCAATTATTATTTGCCCCTTTTATTTTTATCATAAATAATGTCCCTTTTACTCCACTACATTTATTTTGACAGCTAGGTCACTTTGCAGATGTGAATAAAATTGATAAATTACCTTCTGTTGTTATGCTTAGCTTCACCTCCACCAGCTACAGCATCAAAATGCTGCTTACATGTTAACTGTGAACCACCGGTGGGCCTGACACAGTGATAGCCTTCTCTACATGCTGGAAAACTATCTCCATGTTGGTGCCCCACTGCAGGAGACTGGAGCTGTTTTATTATTTATCGCCCTGCCCCTCAGACATACCAGCCTGAGTCTGCCACTGTAAGACAACTCTTTATAAGGGGCCATAATAAGTATTTTTGTACTTTTTGATAAATAAATTCTGCCAATAATACATCTATAATTGTACTTTTAAGTAAAATACCGGAAAGCAAGACATTTTCTTGTGACTGAATATGTTTACCTGTTGTTACTGCTACTTTCACTCAAGTAAAACTTTGGAGTACTCCGTCCAACACAGATGATGAATATCAGTTACAGTGTGTCTCCTAATAAATGAAACTTTATTGATGTGCCTGAGCAGAAAACATCATCTGATGCCTCTGAGTGTGAACTGTGTGAGATTCACCCTCAGTGTGTTGTCCACCTCAGTGAGATGAGGCAGTCGTGGATGACATCACAGCTTCTCCATGTCTAATCAGCTCCATATGTGTGCTGGGTGTATCTACATGACTACTTCCACCGGACAGCAGGCAGCCAATCAGAATTCAAGGAAACACTTCTCATATGTCCCGGAGCTGGAAGGAAGAGAGGGTGGAGAGATTTGTAGAAAAGAGTTTTCATGACAGAGAGTGGAGAGAGAATGAAGAGGAGTAACTTTTCAGTCAATCATTGAACACCACTGAGCCAGAGTTCAAACTAAGTCAAACACAAACAGGACTAAAGTAAATATCACACACAGGACAATTGCACACGATCAGGATGTTTTGTCTACTGCAGTTGCCTAAAAATCAAAATATACCCTGCAAATTAACTGCAAACAAGTTTTAAATGACAAAGAAATGCTCTTGGAACAGGTTGTGACGTGAGCAATAAGTTGATAGCATGGTACTTATTCAAATACACCATCTGTAGAAGTTATGCTGTTTTTAAGGCCGATTTTTTTTGTCGTTTGAAGAAAAGTAGAGCAATCCTGGTGAAAATGATTGCTTTTGGGCAGCCTGCATAATAATCTGTCTGCTGCAGTGAGTTAGATTTTTATCCCCGCAATATATTACAATTTCAATTTTATACGAGCACCAGCTGTAAACTACACCTGAAAAACAAACAAAACAAAAAAACATATTGACCAACTGGAGGCAGGGCCAGGGTGCAGTGCTATTTGTTTAAGTATTGCAATGCACCAAGGATGCGTGTGCATTGTTAAAGGTCCAGTGTGTAGGATTTTGGTGCATATATTAGCAGGAATGGAACACAACATAATAAGTATATATTTTTTAGTGTATAATCACCTGAAAATAAGAATCATTTTGTTTTTGTTATATTAGATTAGAATGAGCCGTCTATATCTACATAGGGAGTGGGTCCTCGTTTATGAAGAACTCCATGTTCACTGCCATGTCTCTATAGTAGCCCACAATGGACACACTAAACACTGGCTCCAGATGGGGCCATTCGTGTTTTCACATCGGCTGCTGTTGTTAAAAGCCCATCTGCAATGAGCAGTGTTGGAAAAACACTAATTTGTAATGTGAAACTGCTTTATTCAGTATTTTTGCCGGATTTGATCACCAGGACCATTTGCTTTGGAGAAGAAGAGACCTCTGTGGAATTCACCTACATGTAAACATGTAAAACCTCCTGAATGTCTGGATCAGAAAAAAAAGTACGCACATATAGCATGTGGTGGCTAAGCCGCCCATTTTAGACATGCCAAACAGCGTCGGAGAAACACTGATTTGTAATGTGAAACTGCTCTTTTCAGTATTTTCTACCAGTTTTAATTAGCTGGTCAGTTTGTTTTGGAGAGGAAGAGACCTCTGCTGATAAGTTGGCTCTTGGTAAAAGCCTCCTGAACAAAGAACACTGAAGGAATTCTGAAAGGGAGATATTTTAGCTGGTTGCAATCTGCAATTCTCAACACTAGATGTCACTAAATCCTCCTAAATCTTACACACTGTTCCTTTAACTTGTGGCTCATTTCAAAGGTAATTTAACCACTGATCCCACAGTAGCAGGTACCTACATTAGTACGTTGTAACTATAAAATTAAAGGATGTTTTGCTGACTTGTTTAATAGTTAGCTAGCTATAGAAAAAAAGCATAATTCACTGTGCTGCCAGCAGCTACCTGCAACTTTTAAAATGGAATGTTTTCTTGCATGTCACTAAATGCACGAGTTAATATTGTAAATCAATCAACACATCTTAAATGTCAACATAACTCTGACCATTCAATTTCTCCACTTATCCTGTGCAAACAAGATAACAGCTTACAAGATAACGAGGTCTACTTGCTACTTTTTTATAGATGGTAACTTGTACTCACAAGATAATTACCTTGTTCAAACCAGATAATTAACCTGTGGGCACAAGATAAAACTGTAGGGACTCCGTACTTTGGTGATGATTATATATTTTCAAGCACTTAAAAAATTACGATGAGTTTCAACTGTCAAATGCAGAAGTATTCCATTTTCTCACTTAACGCAAAAACGTGTCAGAGTGGCAGCAGCACCACACCCCTGCTAGGAGGCAAAAAACCCCAAACAAGCTGAAAAACACATACATGTGTGTTGACCTATTCTGTTGTTCTGTCTCTTGTGTTAGCATACAACTTACTATTTACATGCCCTGACAAACACAGATCCATATTAACATCCCATCAGAGCTGTCTTTGTGTCAACCTGAAGAATACAGGTCCAATATTGACTCTCTTTTAGCTCTTAGTTTGGTCTCCACCAGCTCCTGAGAAAAATATCTGACTCTTTAGCTGCTAAGTGCTCCACTATGTTAGTCAGTCTCCATTCTCGGAACCCATCGGCTGTATTCAGCGTCTGACTTCCGGCAGACGGCAATACAGCATCTGGGGGCAGACCCCCGATTTTTTGGCATTCCGGTTTGATTTGGGCGGAGGAGGCGAATTTCCATTTCCGACTTCCGTTTATATAAAAGTAAATATGCTGAAACATTGTGATGGATTCAGAGTTTGCAGTGACGCCAATTATGTTCCGCCTCGTTAGTTCACTGCACGGACCGTTTAACCTGGCAACAACTGCAGCTGGCTCAAACGTGATCGGTCAATATCACGCGGACTACAAACAGCCTACAACCGGAAACCAGGGCTCTTCTTCCGGAGGCAAGATCTCCAGGGTTTGCCTTCAGACTCTACATTCACTGAATGTGTCTGTATATAGAGACTACTCAGTCTCTAACTGTGTCTGTCTGCCGTTTGCTGCTGGTCAAGGAGTGCGCCGTAAGTTCATCAGAGCTTATTTTGCTGATTGATTCAGCTTTAAGACATTTTGACATGACAGCGAAAATAAAAAAAATTAAGATGAGTCTGGAAAATTAAAGACAGAAGACAAATACTGCACATTTGGGATGCATACTGTGTCCGTTAATTATTACTTCATGTTAACATATAAACCAAAGAGTCAATCTGTAGTTTCTTTAGTAACCCTAACCATAACCCAAGATTCAGACAATACTGATGTATGGCAACACATCTTGACTCAAGGTCTACTTGCTACCTTTTTTCCTGTGGTAAAATTAATGAAAAAGCTATTAAGTGGATCTAGAGTTAAGATTTCATTTTATTTTGTACACTACTGTTTCTGAGGTCAAGACATTTCTACTCATTACTAATGTAAATAAACCTTTTACAGCTATTGAAAACATTACAGACCCAGTTTTAACTATGTCTAGTGTTACATTTTGTATCAAATCACCTATTGTCCAATCTAAGAGAAGTAATCTAAACCAAGAAAAGAGAGGGAGGAAAGGTCAAAGAGCCGTTTAATAGCTTATTTCCAAGTCCACATGGATCTTTCAACATGGAAAGTGTGACTGACTGTGTTTGACTGTTACATTATCCACCAATTTCCAGCAAAAAAAGGTCCATCAAGTTAGACAGATGCTGCCTTTTCATTTGCTTCCCTCTGTCCCCGCTGTGCTTTTCAAAGTACAAAGTCAAGTTCTGTTCATTTTAACCCTGTTTTATGGACATCAGCTTTGAATGGCACCAGACACAACCCCTTAGTGTATTCCTGTATTTGGAGAGTATGGCATTAGCACTGTAAGGCTTCATTAGTAAAAGGCTCTACAAACATACGCACTTCTTTCACTGTGAGGCACTTTGGAAAAGAGTGTCAATACAAACACATAAAAATAGAACAGTTTTCCAGGATCATATTTAGTTGGCTAAAAGAAAGTTGCTGTTATTAGAGCTTCCTTTTCCAATCTCTGTGACCAGATTATGAAGTTTCTCTGATAGCGCCACCTGGTGGGAGAGAACGACAAAGAAAAGACAGTGTAGTTCTTGAGATTTGGCTTCTGTGTCTGAGAACTTTTTCTGTATTTATGTATCTTGTGCAGATTTGATTGTGTGTGTAGCTCACTGTGTAAGAGTCTGGCTCCTGCAGCCTCTTGTGTCGAGGGTGCAGAGTCTGGAGGGAGCTCTGGACCTTTGCTCTAGTTTCTGCAGCGCTGCACAGAGGGTGTGTGACCTAGAAAAAGTGGGAGACACATTCATAAAGACTTCACTCCTACACAGTGGAGTCCTGCAATATTGTCATGTTTCATCATTGTCTTCAGTGCTTTCTGAAGGAACACATCTGTGTTTTCATTAAGTATGATTCCTCATAGTTTGTACAGCAGTACAATAGATGTCAGTGCTATTATTGTAATATCTGTGATTTATTGTTATTTTAGATGTTGTTTGTTATTAAAATCTTTATACAGTTTGCTCTAAATGTCATACAAAACATGCATGCTGAGTGATTTCTTGTACTTTAAGGACCACACAGAGGAGATTTATCTTTTTGTGCTTTCACCTTGATTGTTTTTTACCAAACACAGCACTGTGTATGTGCATTTTTCCTGCACTTCCCACTATACTTTTCTGAAAACACCATACAACATCTTGAAACAAGCTGCTTTCAGATGTGGTTCATGGTATAAGTGTAGAGGGAGGGAGAGATGGGGGCTGAATCCAAATTGCAGACTTTATGGGTGTGTCCTCTCTATGAAGTCCAGAGTGTCTACTGCTGTCCAATATATCAAGTCCACAAGGGAGATAATGCACACTTTATACAGACTTCCAGTCCACTTCTGGTGTAGAATTCACCAGACTTTGTTCAGATGATTACCCAAAAATATGATAATGTTGGAAAGGAAACGACCCCGACAGCAAACAGTGACAAGTCTACTGAAACTTTGAGCAATCACGATACATCCTTACCTGTCCTTTGGTAAACACTTCCAGACGTAGACAGGTGACCTGAGCTGGAACGACTGACACACAAGAGTTATCACACCCCAGAGGGTGACAGCTCAGAGATGCTCCTGCCTCTGGAGGAGGCTCCACAGAGAGACACACCAGGTCAAGAAAAGGATGGCCTGCAAGGGAGAGAAGAGCAGGAAGCTGTGAAAAAGTGTACAACCACACAAGCAGCTTCGTGAGGCTGTAATGCTCATTAGACAGCAGGAAACCAAACGTTTCTATTCTTACAGCCTCAGCGCTTGTGAAAAAAATAATGGAAACACAATAACAAAAAGCTCACTGGCTCAATGAAAAGGGGTTTTTACTGAATGGTGTCTTTTTTAGGACTTCTCAACTTGTAAATTTCAGCTCCACATTATATATATATGTTTATATATATGTTTTTAAAAATGTTTTTAAAAATGCTTTCATATAATGTAAATCAAGACATTGCATCCACTTTGGATATATATGGATAT